TGGGTGCGTGCGTATGCAGCGACTGATAAAACTATTTGGGTAGCCTTTCTTTGTTAATTGGTCCCGGAGATGCCGTAGTTCTTGCATCCTTCCTTCGGGCTCGCTACAGTGCGTTTTTACCCGGTCGAAAAGCGCCCTCACACAGCCCCGTTTGTGCACCGATGTGTGGTTGCTATGATAGTTGAGGACCTGGGTTGTATTGGTCGCCTTTCTGTACACTGTGTTGCTGAGTTCACCGTCAGGTGTGCGCGTGACGAGCACGTCCAGGCAGGGTAGTTTGTCGTCCTCCTGAGTGTTAGGCTTAAGAGTCGACAAAATGTTGATCCCAAGATCTTTTCGTTCGGTCACTTTTGAAAGGCATCTTTCGCCAAACAGGTAATGGTGATCCTCTCCATCGGCACTTCCATTCGTTTTGAGTCGCAGCGCGACTCACTTCTCAACCTCAGCAACCATTTGTCAGTATATTTGCATAGTCAATTCAATCTTTCTTGCAGGGGCCGTTCATCATTTTTACCGTTGATCGTTCGCCATAAATTGATGTCATCGGCAAACATGACTCCATTGCATTCCAGTCCATTCATGCAGTCGTTGACATAGATTAAAAACAATACTGGTCCGAGTACAGAGCCCTGGGAAATTCCAATCACAACTAGCACTGGCGTTGACTTCGCACTGCCTATACACACAAACTGTGATCGACCAGTCAGAAAGTTTTTCTACCGAGTTTAATAAGTTTCCCCTTATCCCTGATTCTCGGACCTTGTAAAGTATCCGTTGGTGTGGAGCACTATCAAAGGCCTTCTTGAAATCGATGTAAACGATATCGACCCTTAGTTTTTTCGTCTAACGAGCGAAACCACCTTTCCGTTGAATAGATCGTCTTAGTCAGGCCGCAGTGATTTCGTCGAAAGCCATGTTGGGAACTAACAATGAAATTATTTTCTCCAAAGAAGTTCATTATGGCTTTTTGACCGTTCTCTCCAGGACTTTCCAACAAATGCATGTTAGGCTCACCAGCCGACAATTGTTTACACATGTTCTAGATCCACCCTTGTGAATGGGATATATGTTCGCCACTTTCCATTCAGAGGGGAGAATGCCTTGGTCACTGGACGACCTGAAGATATGCAAAGGCGGCCTGGCGAGTTCTCTAGCCAATTCTCTCAGAACTTTCGTCAGTATTTGGTCCGTACCCGGAGACTTACTCTCCAAAAACGCTAGAAGTTCCTTCTTCACATCTTCTTCCGTGAAGTCAATGTTTTTTATTATTTCGTCGGTTGTCACAGCAGACAACCCAGCCTCGTCGAAGTCCGTTTCTTTAGCGAAAGCAGATGCGAAAAACCGGCTTAGACGCTCTGCCTTAGCGTCATTTTCAATGATTTCCTCAATGTTTTCTCCTTTCATCACTAAGACTGTGTTCTTGATCTTTAATCTACCGTTTATGTAACTGAAGAGCACTTTTGGCCTATCGACTTCCCGTTTCATAACTCGAGTTTCATACTCCTTCCGCGACCTGCGGATAGCCGACCTTACCTCGTTTCGCTTTCGACGAAACTGCTCGTAGTAAGATGGTTGTTTTGTTGTGGCAGACCTTCTCCATAGTTTTTTCTTCCGATTTACTTCTTTCTCTATACCCCGCTTTATCCAGGCAGAACGATTATTCTTTTTGACTATCTTTGTCGGACAGTTGCGATGCTTGATGTCGGTTACAACTCCTCTAAGAGCGTTCCAATCAATGTCTGCATGTGCGGGAAGAACATCATTCCAGTCACCTGCCGATAATTCCCCTCTCATGGCGTTAAAATCTCCTCGCCAGAAATTCAGCCGTGGCTCAGTCATATTCACTTACATAGATAGACAGATAATTTTTATTAAAGACCCGTCGGGGTCCCATCAAAGCAAGTTAAAATAAATTTGCATGCGTGTTTTAGACGAGGTAGGCTGAATCTTTACAAAATGCAATTCATAGTTTCTGAATTGTTGGCTGCATAGGCGGTATTCCCAAAACAGCATGACATGGTCACTATTATCGAGTGGTCCTATGGGCTTAAGTTTGCCAGGGCTAATGGGGTCTTTTTTAAGGACGAGGTCCAGAAAATTTGCTCTTTAATCCTCTCTGATCCTGGTTGGGAACATGATAGTTTCTACCAGGAAGAGATTAGCCGTTAGTTTCAAGAGCCTGGAATAAAAGGAATTTCGCGAACCATTTACTAATAAATAGTACCAGTCGACCATGGGTGCATTGAAGTCGCCGGTTGTCAGTACCTCTTCGTTTTGTGACACTTCTTTAATTAACCCAAACATCGCCCTGTCAACCGCAGCAGATTGATTGTGCGGCCTGTATACGATTAGGAAATTCGGATTCGGTGCACCAAGCATCCTCAGTTTTAACCAAAGTGCTTTACAGTAGCGGGTGCAATCGGTTTTGTATTCTGACGCGATGATTCCTCTATTGACATATATCACTGGTCTTCCTCCTTTCATACAGTCTGTCCCGGCAAAAAGTTGGTATCTATCGAGTGTAATATCGGCATCCAAGACTTCGGTCTGAAACCAAGTCCCTGTGATAGAGATTACATCCGGCTGCTTATCTAATATTCACACTTTCGACTCATTTAGCTTCTGGAACAAAATCTGATCATTTGCATGAAAAATGCGGAGCTTAGCTCGGACAGCTACTCGAAAGATCGTTGGATCGAAATTGCCAGATACTTTGTGCGAGTTTCTGGGTCCATCGTCCTCTTTCGAGTCTACTGTTTTTTGACCAAACTGGATGTTAGTGTTTTGGCTGTCGTTTTCTTTTGTCGGTCTGGCAGATAGGAGCGTTCTTTCCTTATTATCTGGCTGTTCATTATGCTCAGTGTTATTGGTTGTCTCCAGAGGAATGAGCTCAGAACATTTACAATTTTCCCATTAAATTTTCATAGTTTTTGGGGCCGGAATTTGAACTTCTGAGGAATTCGGCCTTCACTTCCCTCCATTTCTCCCGTTCGGCCGGTGAGACATCCCGCAGAAAAAAATTGTTGGTTGAGCATCTCGTAGTGCTGGTTTCATGTTCAGCAGTAGTAGAGCTTGTTTCTCATTTTGGGAATGATTTTTAATGGTCTATCATAACTGGACTCACCCTTAAATCCTCAATTTGTCCTATTCTGAAGTCTTTTAAGATGGTGATTTTCCCGTTCTCGTTTAATAGGGATTTGGTGTATCTCTGGAATAATTATATTTCCCGTTTTATTCTGGTCCTCGGAATGTCTGAAGAAGACTCAGGCATACCCTTTACGATGATGCATTTATTGCGATCAAAAGGGCGCTGTCGTTTTCTTTTATACGCACAAACTGCATCGCGAAAATATTTGTTATCATCAATGTTCAATTCAGAGACAGTTGTCATGGTATAGCTGCCGCGGTGTTCCTCGTTTATCGAGGCTTCTTGGTCGTGTGGAACCTCTTTTGGCAGTTTGGTGTTTGCTTGCATTGTTTGTGGACTCACTTCTCTCATGCTGTCGCGTCTTTCAGTTTTCCTACCATTTTGTCAAGCTGCCTGCTGCGCGTCAGTGGCGCAGTGGTAGCGACAATTTCAGCGTCGCTCTTGTGCCCAGGCTCCGTCCTGGCCTGAAACGGAATTTTCGTCCAATGTCTAGAGGACCCTTAATCGACTACCATTATTACGTCAATGACCTTGAAACGTCTTTGACGGTATGAAGACGATTTTAAGCCAGACCGACGGTATGAAGTAAATAGCAAACGACGCAGCCGTTCTTGTATTTGGGGTATATCGCGGTGCGGTTGTCAGAGGTGTGTTTGGGAGGAGATAGATTTTTCAGAAGAAACTCCTGTTGTAATTCTGTAATAATCGAGGTATTGGTGTGAAGAATCGACTTATTAATTCTGACAGGCTGTCAGGATGTCCAGTACTCAGGAGACGCGAAAAATGTGAATCCTTCAGAGGTCGAAAATTTCAAACCGAATTCAAAAGACACGGATGAATAAGCCCAGAACTTGAACGCAGATGCCAAAATTCGCATGAAGATTTCCGAACTGAATTTATTCCGTGTCCATTCTAACTTTTTTTGGGATCCTAATCATTACCTTTGTCAAAGAGTGCATCGTCTGGACTCGGTTTAGCATCTGAACTAGATCTAGCTTTTTGAAACTCTGGCCTTATATTTCCGCATCTCATAGGACCTTGTCGTACGAAACCGAAAATGAAAAACAAACTAACCTAGCTCCATTATAATCAGCTGGTAAACCTATGCACCCTTTATTTTCATGTGCTTTAACCCTCAGCGTAATGGTTGAAGCGATGCAAATGCTACTCGCTCTATGACACGGATTTGTAGCAATTGGTCAGTAACAAGTAGGTTAAACCTACGGAGCACTCTTCTGGCCCTACTTTGAGCATAATTTGCAGGCCCGCTCCCAAAAGGATCTTTAGCTGCTGAAACGAAAGCCGGCAAGGGTTACGAGGATGGGAAAGAATCCTCGCGCCGTGTCGTTCGAAGCCAGGCCAGTTGAACTTAGTTTGTTTCTCCTGAAAAATACCCGAATACACAATAACCTAAGTTATATCTACCGGACTGTTAGACTCCAGGAATTTGTCCTACACTTCGAGGACTTCTTTGACTTGGCCGTAAGTGACCGTCTGCATGATCATCCCAGTAGAACGCAGAGGATATTGGCCCATATAAAATTCCTACGAAACATCGTTCTGCAGGAAGTCGTTAGAACTTGGAACAGACTGTCTGCTGCGGGATGTTTCCAGGTACTGTCGAAACATTTAAATGCAGACTTGATGCTCACTTTGCGAGAAAGTAATGTACGTGTAATCGAGATTGTATCAGTGATGGCGGTTTGCTCCTTGCCCACCGATTCGGATTCCTTTGCACTTTTCGTAGGTATTGGTGTAATACTTTACTCTTTTGCATTGGCTGATATTCTCAGGGAGCTCAAGAATGAAGATGGTAATTAGAACTATCGTAAGACACACTGCAAGTGAAACCATGGTGCTGAAGGTCAAGAATGACTCAGAATCTTTGGTAAGCGCGAAACCATGAGTTGACTTTGTCCCGTTAAACCACCCTAAATCAGAAGAAGACGATAACCGGGATATGCTCATCATGTTTGTTCACGATTTTTAACATTGGAAAGTCATCATAAATGACGCAGACAGGTACGCTCTTCAAAAGAGTCTCAGCCGAGTCAACATTTGGTTACTCGTTAGCTCCTCAATTTTAATGTAAACAAATGTGTGCTCACGAGACTTCGCACCAGAAATATCGGTAGGGAGGATAATCCATTTAAATATATTTTTGATAGGAAACCCTTTTAAATGCCGGGGAAAAGAATGACCTCGGCGTCCGAGTAACCTCTTCGCTTAAACCATCGTCACAGGTGTTATTTGCGTTGAGACAAGGATTTGCGAAGATTTATGGGGGACTGTTCGCGAAATTCTAGGAGACTTTTGTTCGGTCTCACTTGGAGTATGCCGTTCAGGCCTGCGTCTGTAGTTTAAGAAGGATAATAAACAGTTGGAACGAGTATATATGATTGGTACGAAGATGTCGAGGAACCGTTATCATCAGCCTTACGAAGTCAGACAGACTGGATTTAATTTATTTTCCTTCAGTTGCATTTGTGCCGTGATCTTATTCAGCCCTGTTGGATTGTGCATTTGACCTCTATGACTCCATCGAATTGACTGGAACGAGCCCTCTGTATGTTCATCTCTTCAAACTGTAGAGGACACTAGTCCGCACGGACACCTGATAGCACGTTCTCTCGCAGAGAGTCGTTGGGGCATGGAATGGACTCCTGACGTAGTGATCCTTTCAAAAACTACGGAACCACTTAAATGAAAAATGGGTATCCATTTGCTGAGAAAATGCTGCATATATAATCACTATTCCACTTGCGACGTCAGTTTGCGCTTGGCTCACACATACCGACCACTTTACAATTTCCAGAGCCCCCGCTGTAAAAACTGATTATATTGCTGTTTTCCGAAATTAGTAGTGAGTTCAAGGGCGAAAGCCACATTCCCATGATAAAGAGATTTAAAATGACTCAAACTGTCTTGCTAGCATATCCCTCTGTCCTAGGAACTGGGCCAATCAGAGATGCAAGTTGTCATGGTACAATCTAGGTAGTGGTTTTCCCTCTATTCTCATACACCTGCTTAACTATACTACATTTTTCTGCGACCCAGACAGTATGGGTAGGTACCTTGCACATATCGCCATGCGGAAACAATCGCGCAGGTAAATTACTCCTGATTATCTGCTTTTGGATCACCGGGGGTGGAGTGGACCAGATCCTGAGATCCCACTTTCTGGCCCCCAAATATGTATGGGCGAAGAAGGGCTAGAACGGTCGGGAAGAGACCGGGGTTTTAAAAATTACCCACGTTGACGCAAGCGCTCTAATAACGAATAACAAGAGACAATTTATTTCACGAATTTTCCTAGACGATGATTTATGCAATACACCTATCCCCCCGTCTTTGCCATAAAAATCTGCAGCCATTTTAAGCATTTGTTTCAAAAATAAAAGGCAAACTAGATCTTGGACTGGACCATGGCGCTGAGCAACCTAATTCGACCCACCCATTAGGGTGAGGACATGTGCCATCACTGCGGTTTCGAATTTTCAACATCTGTCAAGGTCAAGCCGCTGGTTTTAAATTTGAAGATAAGTGGAGGATATTATTTTAAGTGGTTTTTCTGTGAGACCTAACGATTTTAGTACCTGTTTTTTGGTTGAATTTCCTTAAATACAGGCCCCTTCTCTCAGAACTGCCTGCTGCCATCTCCTTTTGAGCTCTGCTAGCCTATGCCCGTTGTTCACTAATCGCAATCTGCAATTCTCATTTTGTGCATCCGATTTCTCTCTAACTGTTGTAATTTATTTTTACATCGTTAGCCCCTAGCTAAAATTCAGTCAACTTGTCTGCCAGAAGTTTTCTTAATCACAAATTGCCTCGAGACAAGATGAGACCAAAAGTCACTGGTCGGCGTAAGCTCTCGGCTCATGTAAGTAAGCATGACCTAACTTAACGTAAGTCAGAAGCTTTACCTAAATCTAAGTCAGATGATATTACTAGTCAGTCGTCACCCGTTGTAATTGGTCGGCAGCTTGATCTGTCTGCACTTGACCATTGCAATGACTTTATGCTAAAGTTTGGCACTTTGCTGACAATTCTTGGAAATTTATTCGACGGGAACATCTCCGATATTCCCTCTGAAGAATGTAGGCGTCTCGACTCACTTGTTCACGTGATCGCCAGTGAATCTAGTGATAGACAGAAGCGTTCTTACAACTTCCTGCTAAAAAATGTTTCTCGATCTGCTCGGCCAATTGATGTTGCGACCAATTTCCTGTATTCATGTGGTTTCAACTACAAAATAGCCGATGCCAAACGCTTGTCCTCCCGTAGCAAAAATCCGCCCATCTTAGTCAAATTATTTTCATCAATCGAGGTTGACACAATCTTTACTCATCGAGAGCGTGTCACTGCGTACCTCGAGAAGGCAAAATTTTTCCTTTCTCATGATATTACTCCTATGGAGCGTAGAATTGGGTTTTTATTTTAACGTAAACCCACTGCTTCTCAGTCTAATGCTCTCCAACTCGGTCATAATACAAGTGGCCGTAAGGATTCAGCTTCTCCTACTCCTGCGACATCTGACTCCCTCCTTCCTCTTTCTCCTACATCTCCATCTCACTCAAGCCACTTGACGCATTTGCCTGCTCCTAAACTTGCAGCAGCAGCAGCAGCAGCCCCATTTGTCGTTTCGTATCCTCCGGATAGTCCCGCTGAGACACATGAAAATCCGTCTACATCAGCCAGACCGATAACTTCTGTTGTCCAACTGGGTGCTGTAAGGTCTACAGTTAAGTCAACCCGTGGCTTGGCGTCAGAACGGTGAGACTCGAAAATTGAATCAGACTCCGACCCAAAAGATAGGAAGTACAGTTCCATTTAGGGGTACGACGCCTTCTCTTAGATCTAACAAGTCCGTTCAGCCCAGCACGTCTACAAACCCCGCAGCTCCAATTATATCCCCGAATAATTCTCTGTCCTGCGTACCGGTTACTTATCAAAGCCCTACTATATATCCAGCAAATAATTCATACATGAATTGTCCTAAATCATTAATGCACCAACCTAGTTCAGGCTTCCCACCACTTAAGGCCAATTGCTCTCAGGTACGTCAACCTATCTCCTTTGACTTCCAACCTAGACCTGGTTTCCCACCATTGCATTGTTCTAGCGGCCTACCCTCACCCACAAGCCCCTACTTTCCTTCTAACCTCCCTCCTCCTCCCCTTCCTCCATTATTTAACTACCAACAAGTCTATCCATGTTCTAACTCCCCTAGCAATCCTATGTTTGCAAACTATATCCCCACATCCTATAGGTATCATACTCAGCCTTCTCTTGCTGACTCCCCGTACGTCGATAACTCTATATTAACTGGTACTTATTCTCCAAGTGTCATTAATTCACAGCTTACATATCCGCCTCCAAATTTTTTTCAAATACCGTCGAAAATACCATTGCCGTTCGAAACACATTAGATATTATATTATTGAATGCCAGGTCTGTTATAAACAAGATGGCCCAAATCAGAGCCATTGCTCTGGAAATGACGCCTGATATTATATGTGTAACAGAATCTTGGACACATTCTCTAATTCCTGACTCTGTCCTTCTCATAGATGACTTCGATTTTTACCGCCAAGACCGCACGACTAGGCGTGGGGGTGGTTGTCTTCTTTATCTTAAATCCTACCTAAAGCACTCTCCTTATTACTTGGATGTTTCCTCATTCACGGGAAACTTCTGCTTTGCATCTGTTATTCTCTCGCCGCAAAGAAAGGCAATTATTGGCTGAATCTACAATCCCCCAAATTCTTTAGCCAGTGATGATTCTCAACTCTGTGAAATCTTTAAATTAATTTCGGAAGCTGCTTTCGATGTTAAAATAATCCCTGGGGATTTTAACCTTCCTGAAATAGACTGAGTTCCCAATAGCTGCCCACCCAGATTCCAGCCCTTTAAGATATTGTCAATTTTTCTAATTGGTCCCAACTGGTGCGCTCTCCAAAAAGAGATAATCACATTTTAGATCTAATCTTTACCAATGACATTGCTCCTCTTTCTGTTGCTTTAAAAAAAGACCTCTTTGACAGTGACCACGTATTAATTCATTGTTGCTTACCGCTTGCCTTTTCAAAAAAGACAAGCGCCGTTCGGACTTACATGAACTACGACTGCGTAGATAGCGACTTAATAAATAACTATATGAGATCCTTGGATTGGTGTGGCTTCCTCACTTGTAGCGATGTAACCAATGTTTCCAAGGTCATTCTGGAGTTTGGGCCGCGTAGGTATCTCAAGCCTAATTCTTCAGATTCCCTTGTTCCTCATTTTCTTCAGAACAGACTAAAAAGTTGAGGCGACAACTGCGTGACCCATTCACTTGTTCCTTATCAGTTCATCTTAGAATCACAGAGATTTTTGAGATGGCCTCAAGGATGCGCCAAGCGCGCGACAGGCAAAGAGAATCAATTGCTCTCAGTGGTTCGAACCCTGGCAAATCCGTCGCTAACATCTTCCGTCATCGGTCCTCCACTAAGCGTGGTCACGAATTTCCACCCTGCTAAATGATAAGAAAGTCTTCCTCACCGATGACACTGACAAGGCGGAGTTGTTTAGTTCTTTCTTTGCAAAACACCCTGCTACCGAGTCCGATCCGGTCCCTTTCTTTCGATCACTTTCAGATAGGACACTGAGTAAAATTGATGTCTCCTCAGATCTCATTAAGAAACACATAAGCCGTTTGAGATACTCACACTGCTCAGCAACGGACGGGATTCCGAATTCGATTATTAAACAAGCGTCCGACCTTCCCATATTGCTCAGTCATTTATTCTCGGTTTATATTTCAAAAGGATTCTTTCCTGAAACATGGAAAACGTCAATTATCATTCCCGTCTTCAAGTCAGGATCTCGGTCCGATGTTAATAACTATCGGGGCGTACACAAAACGCCGTCTCTAGAAAAGCTTCTTGAAAGGATTATTTGCAATGAAATTCTTAACTTCTGTCTAGCTAATCGGCTTCTGAGCTCTAGTCAGCATGGATTTTTACCTGAACGATCCTGCGAAACATGTCACTTGGCTTTTCTTAATCTAATCACTTCTCTTCGTGATGAGCGGCAGTCAGTGGTAGTTATTAACTTTGATCTTATCAAAGCCTTTGACAAGGTCCCCCATAGACGTCTTTTAGTAAAATTGGAAGCTCTCGGCATCCGGCCGCCTCTACTCGGCTTCATCAGTTCCTATCTGTCCAACCGATATCAGAAAGTCATGGTCGGTAATAGCTACTCGACACCCCACTCGATCACGAGTGGCGTAATTCAAGGAACGGTTCTGGGTCCGCTACTCTTCCTTCTGTACATCATTGATATTTCGACTGAACTCGGAAATTCGCAAACTTTTACTTATGCCGATGACCTCAAGTGTGTTTACTCATACTCTAAGGACAGCGCAAATGTTTATGTTGAAAAAATTAAAGCAGATTTACTAAGCTTAAGCAGATGGGGTTCGACATGGCAGATGGAGTTTTCATCATCCAAGTGTAGTTTCATGTCTTTTGGTCCTACCAAACTTCCTGGTCCCATAATTTTTCAGAATCACCCACTCTCAGAATGCCTCACCATAAAGGACCTAGGTCTAAATTATACAAATAAGCTTGCTTTATCACCTCATGCAGATAGAATCTCTGCCAAGGCCGCGCAGATATGTGGATTCATATTGCATAATTTCTTCCTTCCGGAAATGAAGCTAAGACTTTATCAACTGTTTGTTCTTTCAGTCCTCGAATACTGCTGTCCTTTCCTTGGTTTAACGAATGGCTATGGACGTAATAAAATCGAAAATGTTCAGAGTGTCTTCACCCGGAAACTGTTCTCTGAAGCCTCGTCCAGTATTTCTTATACTCAGAGATGTCAGCTGGCGAACACTAGGTTTTTGTGGGTTAGAAGACTCGAAGCTGGCCTTTGCTTCCTTTTTCGCATCAACTCTAGCTCCAGTCTTCCGCTCATTGACACTCTCACTCCGAGAGATCGGTCTTATGCCACGCGCAACTCCTGCATGGTGATTCCGCCGCCTCTTTGCACTACAACTAAGCGCTCCCTGCTCTTTGCTTCCAAATATGCCTTCCTTTGGAATAATCTTCCGCCTGAAATTAGATTATCGCCTAAGTTACTGGTATTCAAGCCGAAACTACGCAAACATCTTACACTGGAAAGCATAAAGGCACTGTTAACGGTCTCATTCCCGAACACTCAGATTCTTGACTTCGAGAAGGGTCCTACTGGGATTTAGTGGTAGATCAAGTGGTAACTCTTAATTATATCATTAGAAACCCCTGTTTTGAATTGGTTTCTAAATCCACTGCTATCACTCCTCCCCCATAGCGACAATTTTCGCGGTTTTTGATGTCATCTCCCGCATTCCGACCTCATGCGGTCTGTCGACGCTCACGGTGGAACTCTCAGTATTCACTGTCTACTAGTAGTTCGGTCGTACCTCCCTTACCAACTGCTCGGCTGAGCTCGAATCGTGCTGTGGCCGATCGCATCTGAGTTCCTCTCGTCTGGCCTCTTTGACGCGGCGTATCAATCCGGCCCAGACGATCTCAATTGTGAATCCCGTATACAATGCCATATGCAAGCCACTCCTGTCTGATCACATTCGTGCCCCTCAAGGCTGAGATTTATTGCTACCCTGACGATGACCGACAACATTCTGTTATATACCGCCACCTACAGGCCAGTCCTGCTCGCCTTTTTTCTGTCATTATTTTTATTGAGGGGTTTTTTTCTCCTGTAAAATTAATCCAATCATTTTGATGGGACCCCGACGGGTCTTTAATAAAAATTATCTATTTATCTATTCTGATGGACACTTTAAAGTCGAGGTCAAGGCACGTAAGTCAATTTCGAAGTCGAGTGAAGCCTTGCATCTTCTTCGATGTTCCCAGGCAACTGATGCGTATTTTGACTGACTTCTTTTAAAAGTCGGGTATAATTTTTCCCTTTCCTATCAAATGGTTTGCTAAAATAGCTGCGTTTTGCGAACCCCTGTTTACTGATGCCGTGAAAGACCTTCTATTTCTGGTAAATAAGTAAATTAGCATTAGTACTTACTGTCCTGTGCGTTTTGCGAAAAGAAAGCAATTTTTTGATCTTTGTATCGCGACGAATAACCTGTCTAGTACCTTGTAATGCCCCAAAGAAGACTTGCTCAAAGACCGAAAACTCGCGGCCTCCTCGCCATCTTCGAGTGCTAGAATCGGGGTCGGGAGACAGAACAGGTACCAGTGTGTATTCTCAGTCGTCTCTAGATATTGCTTACTTAAATATACTATTTGTTCATATAGAACCTCTTGACTCTTTATTCGTCCAAAACAACGCCTCTGCAAGTCGTAACAGAGCATCATCCGACGAAATACTAGATCACCTGATAAATGGCAATATAAACAGTATGTCCCACAAAGTTTTAAACAAGCGTTTATACTTATTGGGGGGTAATAAACTTCGAAACTGAGAAGAGGAAAAAGCATAACATTATACTGCGTAACATTCCGAATTACAAGTAGGTTATTGAGAGTGCGCATTCATTTCTACAAAGTGGTGGCTTGGGTTTCAGTGTCGCGCAAGCTAAACTATTGTGTTCGCTCAGCCGTAATGCACCCATACTAGTTACTCTCTTCTCCTCAATAAATATGAACAATATCTTGTCGAGGAAGGAGAAAGTTGGGGAATTATGTCGTAAATGGCGTTGCTCAATTTCCCGGATCTCACACCTATGCAGAGAAGACTAATCCTTTTGGAAGTGTCTAAAATCAACAGATATGACGGCCCCTGTTGTTATGACGAGTAAGGCTTATTCAACATCATCTGCGGCCTCACCCCTTCATGACATAATGAATTCCGTATGGAAATTAACTAATTTTGGTGCTGAGACCTCTGGACGCTACAACAGGGCATGTATACAAATACCCCTTACGACTCAACCAGCAACCTATCCTAACTCAAAGCAAGTGCCTAACTCAAGAACGAGTCCAAGTGCAATTTCATCCACTCGTACACTCGGTAAATTCAGATCTTCTAAGAACTCTTTCCCTTCATATTCGCCTGCTATTCTCTCAAACTCCGCGGCCGCAGATATGGCGTGTTTCCTCCCGTCCCCCTTCAGACCTCATCTGGAGGCGTTTAGGCCAAATATGCTGACCTTCCCGTCTTTAAAAAGAGTTTCGCCCAAATCTTAGCAGTGCGTCCTCCACCCCCAATACGTGCCCTCCACGGTCATTCTATTGATGTTATTCTCATGCAAATGTTCATACGAGATCGATTAACTCACTCGATCCTCGATTTTATTTCGGCGGGAATGGGTTACAGTATACTTTCTGTGGATTTCCAGTAGAACATCAGCCAACAAGCGATAGTAATCAGCTTCCCTATCCGTCACTTTCTTTCCCAAATCCAAATCCTCTTTATCCGCATCAGCGTCTCTTCATGTACCAAATTTTTGCAGAACCGGGCAGGTGCATCAGGGCCGTATGTTACGTGGACAGCCAAACACTGGTCGACGTAGCACACCTCCCCCAGAAAAAAAGGTCCTTCCCCTAAAAGATGTTGTTCTTTATGCCAGATCCTTGTTAAATAAGATGTGTATGCTTCAGACTCCGGTGTTCGTTCATCACCCAGATATTGTTTTATTAACGGAGACGTGGGCAAGAGCTTCCGTAACTGACTCTGAACTCACTCTTCTAGGCTACATTTACATTTGCAATTATCTCAAGACAGTCGTAGTGAGGTAAGTTGCATCTACTTTAAATAAATAATTGCGTTTCTGTCGCTAGATCTCCCGATTTTTTCCGCGGTTGAAGGCTGGTGCTGGCTCCGAATTGCACCGAACAGGTCGCGGATTCGAGCCTCGAGTGTTCTACACTTCGGGGTTGGGTATGACTGGCTGACAACGCCCAATAAGCCAGAAATGGCTTTTCTAGTCTATCTTGTCTTTGTCAGTAATAACATGATGCGAACTTAGGAATTTTGTTTTTCGAAACCGAATTGTTTGCCGCTAAGGCAATTTGGCCTTCCTCTGGGTTTTCCACGTTTTCCGAGTCGTATAGTATTTTACTTGCAAACGGAGCAAAATCACTCATTATGGGGAAGAAATCCAAACAAGGAAAGGCTCGTAAAGATAAATTTTATTTTCTCGCGAAAGAGACAGGTTTGAGGTTTACTTACTGTATAGCTTTCAGGTTACCGTTCACGAGCTGCCTTCAAATTGATTCAACTGAACCGTCGTTTCAATTTCCTTGGTTCATCTAAGGTTCTTATTGATCTCTGTGCTGCACCTGGCGGCTGGATGCAAGTTGCAGCGAAGGAAATGCCAGTGAATAGCGTCATTATTGGCGTGGATCTCATGCCGATTATGCCTATTCCTAACTGCAAATCTATTGTAGCAGACATTACGACTGAAAAGTGTCGTCAGGTACTTATAAATGCTATTTGTTATGTTTCGGTAGTTGTTAAGGGCCGCGCTACTTCATAACAAAGCGGATGTCGTTTTGCATGATGGTGCACCGAACGTGGGCACTGCATGGACCATCGATGAATATAGCCAAGGTGCGTGTGTTATTGACTTCTATTTTTGGCAGCATCTTTGTGTTTAAAGTCCTTCGCGCTTGCAACGGAATTCTTACGAAACGGCGGATGGTTTATAACAAAAGTATTTAGAAGCCGCGATTACGAGCCGTTGAAATGGGCCATCTCACAGTTCTTCCGCAAAGTGCGGGTATTAAAGCCGGAGGCATCGCGCCTTGAATCCGCCGAAATTTTTTTGGTTTGCCAAGGCTATCTTTTTCCTTCGCATATCGATCCGAAGTTCTTGGACCCTAAACACGTCTTCGGTGAAGTCGAGGTTGCGAAATCCCGCGATACTGTGGTTTCCTCCCTTCTACGTCGTTCGAATAAAAGAAAGCAAGTTGATTTTTTATCCACTTATTCCCGTCATTTGGTAGTCGTGTGGTGTTGGGTTTCTGATCAGTCTCGACACGTTTCCGACATTTTACCTCGGTGTTCTGCCCGTGGAATGTTGTGAGCATTTTACCTATTAGGCCTGACCGATTGAATTGTTGCTATTTGGAGCAAGTAACCGTATTTACCCTTGCTTGTTTTTCGCGTCGGCATATTCCTCTTCGAAGGCAGAAATAATTGCCCAGAAAGGCGAAATCCCCGGCGCCTGGACTGATTTAGCCTGAAAAAGGGGTTACTTACGCCAAGTTGTTTGACCTTTTCATCAGTTCATTAATACACGCGTCCAAGCGTTGTGCTTTTACCGTATACTCCAAGCATCTTTATCTTGGTTCTAGATTTTCTCGACCCTTTTTTTCGAGACTTCCTTGTGTCACTAATGCTTTTTGTCAATAGGAAGGCTGAAGGATATGATGACGAAAAACTGTACAAAGAAACACCTTTATCAGCGTTTATGAATTCTGACGATCCTTTGAAATGTCTCGCCTACTCATATAAGGTACGAAAAGCCGTTTTAATAGACGTCTGCAACGATTTTTTGCTATCTCCATCGATATACCTTAGGGGTTATTTCTTCATTAATAGCAGAATACACATAGACGACCGCACCTTTTGGTTAACTTTTCTATTCCTTTAGAGTAGACTTGGATTCTATGTAGTTTCGATGCGTTATGACGCCGATTGTATATGTTATCTGATTTTATAAAAGTGACGAAAGTTTGTTCTAGCCTACGATTAGATGTCTTTACCAGCGACTGCAGTTACAGTGGGCATTAATTCAGCCCAAAATGATTTCACTTGCTCTCCGAACATCATTTTACAAGTTTACTTTGTACAGCACAGTACGCATCTGTGATTTCCGAGTTTCCCGCATCCATTTTCACCTCAACATTCTGTAGATATCCTGCGACAGGCCTGAGCTGTTGGAACATCCGCTTACTCCGGCTTACATCAAAGATTCCTTGGATGACATACAAGTTCTTGGCAAGGCTGAAATTCGGTACGTATGAACAGCTTTTCTTGTAATTTGTCCTTTGTAGTGCTATACTCACTTGGAGGAAAAAAATTCTAAAAGCTTTGGAAGCCAACAACAAGACCGAGACGGAGAAGTGAGTTTGACCGTCGGTCATTTGAAATTACTTCATGGGTGTTAACTAAACTTTCACACGTTGTCCTGTGTGTTTGAACTACACGGTACTAGTCAATTTTCGCCCATTTAGAGAGGAGCAAACTACTGTAGAAGCGGATAAATCCAGCCAGGATGAGGAGGATATCGACCGAGAAGTGGAGCGTCTGCTCAAAGAAGAGCAGCATGAAAATAAAAAGTGAGTCACTTATTAACGAAAGGTTCTGAAATTTGACTCTATTCTTTGCTGAATCGGTGTATAATAAATTGATCTAGTTTTATTGTCGAGCTTGTGTGTATACCAAATTAACAAAATCCATTTTGTCTATAAAATTCGCACGAACGCCATTAAGCTTTATGTTCTCAACTCCCTTACCATATTTGACTTAAAAACGCTCAATGGCCAAAGAATGCTGACTCGAATTCCGGTCCCTGCATACCCGAATGACTGGTTATCCTAGTCTCCCTATTCATTTTCGGTAATCCGTCCTGCATAATTACTGACCACTTGGCGACTGCCTGCAGTCACTCTAGATTGAGCCGCAGGGCGCAACCGGACGAGCATGTCCCATAGCCTGATTGGTGAACGTCCATCCTACGGTATTTTGTTTTATTTGCCTGAAGTTTGCAAATTGAAAATAAATGATATTTCGCGTTCGGTAAATTAGTCGTACTTAAACCGAATTCGAATTAAACCCACTGCCGTAATCTGTCACGTAGGCCGCCATCCCTTCCAAGAACTACTTGGAAATAATCAAATGTGCTGACTTAAAACCTACGCCTGTATCTGTTTAAATGAACGTTCTAAGCGTCTATGCACTAACTAGGCCTTCACTTGTTGGCGGCTGCAGACCGGAGCAATTTTGCTCTCTGGTCACAGTTTGTAGTGGTCACTATACAATGGACGTTTTCGTCTCTACTGTTGGCTGCCTTCTTTGGATAGTCCACAACGTATGTATAGTACTGAGCATGTTCTGTGAGATAAAGTTTGCCCGAAAAGCCTATATTCACAACTTAGTAAGCTAGAATTAATCTTTCTAAGACTCATTTAAAAATCAATCAGGAACTACAACGTCTCGATCCTGGTTCGACTTACCGAAAGTCGTATCTTTTGAAGTCTCAACGACTTGAGAAACTTCAGTACCACGAAGCATTGTAAATTGGCTAAAGTAAGCACGTGTTCTTGAAGTCTGCCTATAACAGTCATCACGTGACTTGAGTGAAGGTTTTTCTGCTTGCAAACTTCTAAAGCTGGTAGACTGTTGTGTGACCTGATTCCAAAATATCACCCCAACCTTCGTCTGTGGAGCCTACCCACTCTTTGACAGTCCTTGTCAGCGCTCAGTTTCTCAGAATTTTGGGCAACGTTGTCATATGTAATTGCCTACTTTTCGCTTATGCTGCTTTTATTGTTGTAAATGACGCCTCGAATCCGGATTGATATCGAGGTCACTGCAAGGTGCAAATAGTCAACGACCTGATATTTTGTTTGTCGCAATCAATGAGGGCTATCAATGTCCAGAGGAGGCACGATAGATATTTTTTCGTCTATTTATCGCAAAGCACACTTGCGAAGTATCTGCTGTGTTCTAGTGACGAAACTCTGGATGACTGGAGATGAACGTGGGCCCAGTGGTAGGCAAATCCGAGTAACCTGTCTACGCCTGTCACATGAGCGATATAGTTTCACACATGGGGTCTGCATTCTGTAATGAGTGCCATAAAGGCCAAATTAAAGAGGAACCTTTGCAGGCTGGTCCTCGTTATGAGAACCGAGTTATCCTCCCAGTTGACAATGTTCTAGGTCACAATTTTTACTGCGCCGTGCTTGTTTATAGTTAGTAATTAATGCGCTGGACACTGGCTAGGTGGACCCCACTCTCCCTACCCTGCGTCACTAATGAATACTAATCTTGCCAATTAATAGTACGATTTGGCTGGCGTTGCGTGAGAGCCTGCGTCCCTTATGTGCTCTCCGTCACTCGCCATTGACCAAACCTAATTAAAGAAGTAGATCTCGTATGAGTAAGACGTGCGTCTGTTCACACATGATGTTTTACTGTTAATATGACTGCCATAGTTATTGCATGGGTGGTGTGCGATGTCTCGTTTGTAGTAAACATATACATGGATATGACCGAACAAGCCTAAGCTTTGAGATAAACTGGCCGCGACATTGTTGAACTTCTACGTCCTAACGAAACCTTAATTGGCTTTGTAGATTCGGGTTAAGATTTTTATTACCGATTCCAAACTCTCTTCAGACAGTCTTATCCGGATACGCGGAGTTATTTGCAGCTTTGACGCGCAATTTGTGACCCACCTGACAATCGGCGAAAACCGGTTGAACACCTGAGGTTCATCATGGTTTTCCTAAGTCAGATACAGTCCGCGGCTTCGAAGATAGTGCAAAGACTAAATCTCATTTCTCTTAATTGCCGGACTGCGAAGATCATGTCTGCTATGTTGCGGTGCGGTGATTGTCACGGGCCTGTCAGTTTCCTTTCCGTTTATAGGGGGTTGGAAACAGCCGCGCCTGTCCTTATCCGTGCATTTTATGAAGCGGTGAGTCTGGTCTGCTTAGAAGTTGGAAACCACTGCGCTTGTAGACTGTGGGACTCGAGCTAGTTTCCGAAGTTCCCCACGGGCCACCTGTAGTACTGCCACCATTTCCTGCTGACTTGTCCGTCCGAACGCTTCTGAATATGTCGTTTTCTCCGACAACAGGGTTCTGTCGTCTAAGCCAAGCAACGGCACGATTTTGTCAGACTAAGCTATGCAAGCCGTCTTGGTGGTTGCGGGGATTATAATTCCACCGCAGTTTGCATGCCCTTTGGTTTCTTTTGCTCTGCGATTCGGACAGTCATTTAGTATATTTCCTAGCCTTTGCCACACTTGGCGTCGGCGCTGGAAGAATACAGCTTTGTCTGCATCGGTTTGGATTTCTCATTTCCGTGGGGCCAGTCTAGGTGTTGTTGGCGCCCGGATCCAAGGACTTTCAAGGTAGTGTGGATGGCGTCTTGCGGTTCCGTTTGCTTGTTTTCATCGTCGTCCAGGCTAAAGTTCGTTGTAGAGCTAAGACCCAGTCGACGTTCCGGCATATGCAATATTCCAGTATTTAACTTATTAGTTACCTACTCTTAGGTCACCTAGCTGGTCCGAGTCGCAATCTTATCTTCAAAACGACGAGGTAACGGTTCGTCAAGCATTCGGGAGTGCACATCGCCTCGGAGACCAGCAAATGTGCTGATTTCGCCTGCCGGTGAACACTGAGCCCAGCAGTTGCCTTTGGCGCATGTAAGCATGTGTCCACGCCGTCGATTGGAGGGCGGAAGAGCGTGTTTGCGATGAAGGGATTGCGTGCATGATTGAAACAAAAGGAATCTGTTGCTGTTAGGCCTGTACTTACGCCGACACCGAAGTAATCGGCGATAATCACTTTGTTCACATCCAGTAGGTGAACAAGAAGAGCGTCCACTTCGTAGAACTCGGCCACTTCGTCATTGCCTGTCTTAGTTGTGCAGGCACAGGTAATTGGTGGCAGTGTTCTTCCCGCGGGGGTGGGGGTCCGTTATCTCAAGACAGTCGTCGATACGCCACAGGAGAGAAGACAGCCCTCTCTTAAAGGCGACTGCGACGTTTCTCCGCTTTTCCTTTGAACGCCCGTCCCAGAGGAAAGTTTGTCCTGCACATTCTCTATTCATGTTTAAGAAGCAGATATTGTTAAGAGCCTCCGTATCCACCCTGTGTAGGTCCAGTTTGTAAGTGACCAAAGTTGCTTTGCTTTTTGGTCGGTTTGTGTTAATTAAGGCGAATACCTGGTTTGACATCCGATAATTCCCTTATCAGAAAGCACTTGTGAGGAGAAATCTGATGCTGAATTACAGTCCAATGAGGTTGTAAAGACAATGGGGATTGGAATGGTTTATTTTGCCACCGTCAATTAAGAACGCTCCAAGCCCTAGAACGGAAACGTGAATAGTGAAGATCCCAGTTCATTCTAGCAGTTCTGTGTCGGGAATCCCGTCCTGTCCCCCGGCCTTAGTATTTTGCGGACGCAGCTGAAGTAATGGTGGTCGAGTTTTGTGGCTTGACTTTTGTGCCTCATCCCATACGGGAGTTTTTTGGGATGAAGACTCGAAATATCGTGTTCAAGCGAAGACCGCGAGTATTCTAAGCAGACTACTCCAGCCAACCGATGACCTGACTGGTTTTAGAGACCTGATGAGCAATTTTATCAACGGTCGTTGCATTTTTTGAATTGGTACTGCCCACCTGAGCAAAGCTGCCCACAGACGCCGGCCGGGTTCCGTATATGCTGATTTTGGGTGCTGGCTGACACATGTATACCGTCTCCTCTGTGTTGATGGCCAGTGCAGTTGGTGCGACGTGAGGCAAGGAGGTCCATGTTGGTTTTCTCCGTGGCTTTGGGCTCACAATCATCCACAAACAGCAGATCGTGAAAGCGTGTCATGGAAACTCGCGCGAATGTCCGCACGCGTCGGATGTTTGGCAGCTGCCAGTCATTTCGGTAGGCGATGCTTATTCCTGGCAACTCCTCACTTTAATCTTCCATTACCATATCGGAGAACATGATGCTGAAGAGAGTGGTGACGAGTACACAACCCTGCCTCACTCCATTTGTCACTGCGAATGCTTCCGGGACTGCCTCGTTCATGACGCGAGCCATCAATGCGACGCGAGGCTGTCGCACCCTCTGAGTGAAATGCTTCGAACATTCGATTTTCAGCTCAATTTTCCATCATATCGCGATTCACAGTGGCGCAAGCCTTTGCCTGCTTCCCATATCATGGCACTTCTCTCATAGTCGACGAGCAGCAAAAATCACGTCGGTCGTCCCGTGATTACCTCGAGATTCACTGGTTCTCAGGAAGTCTGCTCCTGGTTTAGGTCTAGGTGATTGAGTAGGATGTAGAAGAAGATTCCGTGTGTGATTTTGAGAGGGGATATGTTCCAGTTGTTGTCACAGAGTTGTCATGTCCCTTGCTTTTACGTAGTTGGACGTTAATATGCCTCTTGAAGTCCTGAGAAGATTGGCTTTGTTTCCGTATCTGTAACGATGAAGTAAGCTTCGCCATTAGCTAAGGGTTGCATACTTGTAAAGTTGGTATTGGAGTGAGTCCGTGTGCGGTGCTTTGTCGCTGGTTTCTGTGTAGGATGTCTGTCGAGGGCCTCATCGGATATTGTAGATGACCAATAGGGAACGCTTCCGAAGTGCTCGGCTCAGCGCTCCAGAGTTTACAATTTCCGTCGGAAGGGTTGTTCCCTCGGAATTGAGCAGTGTACAGTCCTTCTGGTTTGACGGCCGTAGACCTCCTAAATGGATGCAAGATACTTTTATATTCCATTGCGCGCTGCAGGCTCCCAAATCTCCTTAGTCTTACGATTCACCCAAGCGTCTTGCCTCTCTCTCTCTCTCTCTCTCTCTCTCTCTCTCTCTCTCTCTCTCTCAGTAGCTTCTTTGTCGTAAGGAAGCCGTTTTGTAGGCATCGGTCCCGTAGTTGACGTAATTCTTGCGCAGCCTTCTTTTCTGGGAGAGCAGTCTTCAAATTTCCTTGTCATTGTCATCAAACCAGTCCTTGTACTGACGGCGTGCGCAACCGAGGACGTCAACAGCAATCTAATAGGTGACACTGCGTTGTGGTCCTCACTAGGTCTCAGCAGTCGCATTCGCATTTAGAGTTTTATTCGCTCCAGATAAAAATTTGCGCAACTGCTAAAATGCAACCGGCGTTCAGCCGTACCAAGTAACGCGGTAGCTAACTCACCTGCTGGTCGCTTGCCATGTGGTCGCCTGCGGGGTTGCAGTTCTAGCCCAACCTTGAAGATGACATTGTCACTAAATATCACGCTGATCATGCTCCTAAAGGAGGGGACTGGAGGCCTTATCACTGTCATCAAACAGTGTGCGTGTGAATGACATTCCGCAGTTGACTTCACTGTCTCAATGGTTGCCTTCGTTTTCGGAGCTTGTGTTTCTTCGAGATATAGATCCAGGCCATTGCTCAAACCCAATCGGTTGTTGTGCTTTTCAGCACACGGTTCCCAGTTTCTCGTAATTTCCCATCCGTTTTATTGGTATACCAGACTGAAAGCTCCTTCGCAATTGCGTTTTGTGTCAACGTTCCAGATATCACTTGTTTCTATAAACTTAAGTCAGGGCACATAAACGATGATTTGAACGCAGTCCTCTAAGTGTTACTTGTATAGAGTCTTTAGTGGATTTGAACCGACATCATTAAGTTGACCGGCCTGTAGCATCAATTGAATATTTTGTCTTAAATTTGTCTGTTCCCGATCGCATTCACCTTGGCAACTAACCCAAGCATCTGTAAAACTCTGAACTTGACTGTGTGTCTTTACGCCTGTTAAAATAGGCGTCTCAAGATTATTCGAAAGGCCAAACGGAAACTGGCAGAGCGTATTGTCCGCAAAATGGAACACCCTGGGGACCAGATTGAACAGAACGATGCACACGAGCTATTTTCTCTTTCTGCTGTGGGCGACTTGGATGAGTTGGAGAGACTGGAGAAGAAGATGATTCAGGAAACTGGGCACAGCGCTGCAGACTTGATGGTCCTCAAGGAGGAGCAAGCAGTCCGCAAGGCAGCAAAGGAGAAGATCGAGGGTGATTTTAGACGGGCAGTGGAAGGCGGCGAGTACCTTCAGTTTGATCGTCACGCCGAACATGATGTTGATCTGGGCGCCCTAGAGTCAACTAAACGTAAGATTCTTCCTGAATGCCATATTCCCTTTCAAAAACCTTTGCTTTCAAAAGACGTACGTTTCCCCGTGTGGATTTTGGTTCTTTCTGAACGAGGTGACGCTACTTGCCAGGAACACCTGATTACGCGCCAATATTGCCCTTTATCAAATTTTTCGTAACCGACTCTGGCATGAACGTGGCCATTTATCAGTGAGGTTAGCGTTCTGTAACAGGGCGGACCGAGGATATACAGTGCGTGACCTATCTCATGAAATGTTGGCTGAAATTCTGAAATGCGTTTTCGATTAGGAAGGATTACTTGGTCGCGGTTGTAATACTGATTATCTTAAGGCATACTCTTATAACATTTCGGACTCGGCAGGATGTCGGCTTTAAAATGCACTTCTTTTCAATCTCCTGTAGAAAGCGTGCTCGGTAAAAATGACTACTTAAGTAGCATGCATTTTTCCCATTGATTTTCGATGGTCTTGGAAACTCAACTATATTTTATAAAAACCACAAATAAAAATATGCTTTCTTTTAGTTAATCAATAAATAATCGCGTCTTCTTTATATGTTATACTGAAGGAAGGAGTATAATTAGGTGTTAAAAAAGTTTCTAATTATGAGACTTTTTAAGACCGCGATATGTCCATTCACATAGCATCGTAGCTGGCCGTTTACCACTGCTCCTCATGAAATGTACAACATGGTCCGCATCCATTGCAAAATTTTATGGACCCCTGTATGATATCTCTTTAATGACATAGAAAAATATGGGATTTTCTTTACGCGGAACGCATGCACCTTGTAGAGTGTAATCACTAAGCGCTAATGCAACGGACGATCAGTCTCTAAATTTTTCGGCAATTAGAAAAATTTTTTAAAACCTAATTATACTCCTTCCTTAAGTATAAAATATAAAGAGGACGTGATTATCTATTGATTGATTAAAAGAAAGCATATTTTTGTTTGTGATTTCTATAAAATATATTTGAATTTCCAAGACCATCGAAAATCAATGGGAAAAATGCATGCTACTTAAGTAGTCATTTTTTACCGAGCACGCTTTCTACAGGAGATTGAAAAGAAGTGCATTTAAAAGCCGACATCCTGCCGAGTCCGAAATGTTATAAGAGTATGCCGCAAGATAGTCAGTATTACAACCGCGACCAAGTAATCCTTCCTAATCGAAAACGCATTTCAGAATTTCAGCCAACATTTCATGAGATAGGTCACGCCTTGTATACTACGGATCAGGTCCCGTTCGGTCTTGGGGGGAAGTTCGTTGTTCATAAGTCCTCAGTGACTAGTGAGGCTGTCTGAAAACTGGTTATGTCATTACACCGCTTTCTTTCTTACCAATTTCATAGATGACCGACTTACCAACTCCTTGACCGGTCAGCACATGTTAACTGTTTGATTAATGACTGCCCATTTGTGAAGTACTCATGCACTGAGCTCACAGCAGCTATAGGTGAGGGAAGAAAGTAGGACCATTACTGTCAAGTTGGAGGGCGTGTGCAACCTGCAAATGGGGAAAGCCGCGTCTTCAATATTTTCAGTGGCAGAACCAGTCGGCTGTATTCGAGAACACAGGAATTACAAACGAGGGAACTGACCTCTTTGTTAGCGGGTATCCTCGGGCAAGCCTCTCACTAGTGGTTTTTTTCTATATCACCGAGGTATTGTATGTTTTAATAATTTATTGTTTGCACAATGCTTTCTTGATGAACATTTGTCTCCCCTGTTTGTAATCACGCAGCAATATAGACGCTGACTCTGTTCTCTTCGTTTTACTTTAACAGCCGAAAATATTCACGACCGGGATGATATTTACCTGAGCTCTAGTGACGACGACGTGGACATTGAGGATGACGTGGAGGACAAAAGGTCTCTCCCAGACGCCGGGGAACAACTTGTGTTCGGTAGCGACGACGAAGGCGACCTTGACGAAGAAGATGCTGAAGCGTTCGAATCCGATGAAGATGACGATGTCGACAGTATTAATACCGAGAAAAAAACACTCCTCGTTGATCTCGACCCGGCAGATGAGGAGACGAAACAAAAACGCAAAATCAGCGCATGGTGCAATTCTTCAGAAATCAAGGTTTGTGTTCATATTTATCACAGCTTTGCTCGTATTCTGACCTCATACTCCGTGCTCTGGAAATCATGAAGCATAGTGAAATCCTCGGGTAGATCCAACTACCTGAAGTCCGAAGTGTTCACATCGTCATTGCTTGTCTTAGTAGTAGTGCAGGTACAGGTGATTGTTGGCAAAATTCTCGCCTCGGTGTTGGAGACCCGTTGTCTTTGATGTTGTTTTTGATGACGAAAGTGATTCCGACGTCTCGTTTTCCTACTGTCGGACATTTTCTGCGGAGGAAGGTGTGCCCTGTACGGTCCCTGTATGCAGTCCGCGGCGAGCATTCAATGCGGGCGGAATGAGTAAAGTCACTTTGTTAACGGAGACGAGGAGGAAGGGAATGGCGATTGCCATTTAGTCATACTTCACCTCTTTCGTACTGGAATTGCGACCTGAATGGGTCTAAGCAACCTGTTACGGTCTACATAGGTGCAGGTAGAAAGAATTGTTTCATTAAAAGGAGATTCATCGGGCCTGATGACGCTATTAGATGGGTTAGCCCGCCAATCATCCACGGTTGCCGGGGTGTAGTATTATTTGACCTGTATCATGAAATGTTAATCGAAATTCCGAGATGTGTTTTCAATCCCAAGGGATCACTTAGGTGATTAACTTGCCGCATGATCCCAAAATATTTCAATCTTTCCAGGAAGTCGACTTTTGAATGCACATCTTTGTGGCCGCATGCAAAAATCACATTCGGCAACAACGGTGATTAGGTGGAATGAGTGTTTCCATTGGCCTTCGGTGTCCGTATAAATTTAAATATATTTTATAGATGACTTGCATAGAATATTCTATTTTGAACTCATTTTGTAGAAAATAACATCTTTCTCGATTTTTTATACTCGAAAAAAAAGTATTTAGGTTTTAAGTTTCCAATCGTGTGGTTTTTAAGACCGTGAAATGTTAATTCATACAGCATCGTATCTATCCATTTATTAATGCTGTCTGCAATGTATACATCATTGTCCATATTCATTGCACAATGTTATGAGTCTTTTATGGCCTCTCGATAGCACTGACAAATGTATGATTTTCCTCGTACGGAGGACTTAGTAGTTTGGAAACCCTAGACGCAAGTGCAACTGCGATCAGGTTCAGAAATTATTTGGGGATTCATATTGACCCAACTGTGAAAAACTCGGCGCCTCGGTGGGATTCGAACCCACACAGTAAAAGGAAGGCTTTAATACAGCCAACGCTCTAACCACTTGGGCTACAAGGCCCCGCCGGACGACGCGAGTTTAATCACATTTGGGTCAAGTTACCCGCCCAACCTACTGCAACGCCTGGAATCCACCAAATCTGGTACAGTAAGTTGACTGCCCAAGCAGGATTTCCCAAGTAATTCACCTAGGATTGAAAAAAATCTTTAAACCAAAAGATGCCCCTTTTTCCAACTGTAAAATTTGGAAATGTTTGCTAGCAAACTGTCAAAAAAAGTGTTTTCGTGTATGTTTTTTTAAAAAAATACTAACTATGCATATATGCACTGATAAGGGCATCGAACATGAATGGGGAAAGTCATACTGCTTAAGTAGCGGTTCCCGATTTAAAATAGTTTTTGTAGACGACCGAAACCATGCTCATTTAAAAGCCAGCACTCTAGCATGGCTGAAATGTCATGGGGCTATTCTGCACGCTGACCGATATTACAACCCCACCTAAATATTCCTTTCTAGTTGAACACTTCAGAATTTCAGTCAACAGTTCATGAGATAGGCCGGATATTGTGGCTGTCGCAGAAAGTCCAGGTTCGTTTAACCAAAAGTGAAACTCGGATGGCTGTGGGGTCCTATGTAGACATCTCCACCAAGATGATCGACATGTGTGACTTGACTTAAATCCATGAGCGTGGAAAGGCTCGCCAAGGATCTCAGTGGATTTTGTGTGGGAGTACAACCTCAAACTACGACACTACGTAAACGAATGTACTCTGCCCAAAGAACATAAAGAATACGAGTTTGTCATTGCAAAATCGCCTGTTTTCCGTATGCTTCGTCGCCTACGTTAAAATGTACTTTTCTTTTGGCGAAATCAGGTAAAGATCCTATGGCACAGGTCGTTCGCATGCATCGCTCTGCACAACTGATTCCCAGTTTACTCTGCCGACATATTTTCTGGCATCTATGTGCCATGTCTCCTGAGTTGTGCCATCGATACGTTCCAAGTCTGGGCTTGTGTTATTTTGCAGTGTTGCTTTCTGTGAGGACAAAACCCTTTCCTTACCTCCAGGCGCGTGCATGCTCTGACTTTTAAATTTGTGTTCACAAGCTGCTACAAGGTTTACAAGCCACTAAAAAGGACAGGGTAGTGCGTTTTTGCGCTTTCGCCATCTGCCCTGTTCGATTATCTTTCTGCACACTTGGACTTAAATGTCCTCCCGTGCTCATGTCCGTTCGGGTGCTTAGCTATGCGTCACATTTTGACTATGCCAATCTCTCTGTCACTACCATTGTGATGACTGCCTGAAGGGTTACTCTGGAGGAATTCTGAGAGCCTCCTCAACGAGTCCCTCAAGTGCAATTTCTTGTGTACACCATTCTCGCTTCCATCTCTGGAGGTTTTACTTCCGGGCGTTTTCTCCCTCTGACGAAAGGAAAATCCAGGGTCCCAGGCCAGCTCACGTCTTAGAGTAATCGAAACCAAATACTAAGACTGTGGGTGCGGTTTATGAGTGCCGCCCCTGACGGAGTCGGGTGTTACTTTTCAGAGAACATTCCCACGCCGTTTTTTCTACAAAATTCATGATGGGAAGAGCAACCAACTGGCATTCCTCGTCTTCGTTTATAACAAAAATTGCTGTGGTCTAAAAATCAGCGAATCTCCAGCACAACAATAACACTATCCTCCAACGGCGGCAACCACCAAAAAACCACAAACGATGCTTTTGTAGGTACTATTGCTTCGACAGGTGTTTAGAGCCATAGTTTACCCACCCAAGTTTTCCAACTTATGTGTATCAAAATCAGGTGAGGCCCAACCGTACGGGGGGCTAATTTGGGCGAACACGTCCGTAAGTTATGAATGCCTCGGCAACCTTGCACACTTTCCCAATTCCTTCGCTATTGTAGTTGCGCAAAAACCAAAGGCCGGAACCAAGATGTTTCACCTCCAAAGTCACCCCGATTAGTCCTGGAGTCCGTAGCCTGTTAAAAATGCACGCCTGTATTTGTTCGACTTTGAGTTCGAGGCACTGTGAGAGAAGGCAGACGTTTTACATTCTCCCAGGGAACCGAACCCTTTGGCCATCTTTATCTCCACATAACGACACTCGGCTTCTCAAAACAACCATTAGCTCCAATTTCTGCACCAAACATTGGACAATCTAGAGCCCCAATTTCACTTCCTCACTGCTCAACCGTCTGCAACCCATACTAGTTTACCCATCGTAATTGCTGATGTCCAGTGTCACCAATTTGTGCGTGTGATTTGATGGAAAGCTTCTAACATCTTGAATTTCGTTGATACTGGAAAGGAAAAAAATCAGATATTTTCGTGATACGAGGTTAAACAACTACCTCGCAGAACGTCCCACGCACTGCACCCCGTGTCACGTCCAAAAGCGGCACAGGGGGAGGCAGTATACTGTAGTCTTCTAACTGTTCAATTGACTTCTGTTGGTTCCGACTTCGTAGTGTCAGGAGTCTCGGTGGTGCAGGCAATACTCCTCGGCAAGGTGTCCGTGGTGTTCCTACGGCGAGTGCGGGGTTCTTGTACAAGGCAAAGTGTGCGCCCTAAATGTGCGCTAGCAGTGAGAACACGAGGAGGGTGCGGCGTTGACACTGTTGCTCTTCTTTATTTTGATCTGGTCGTCTTGTTGCATTTCCTCGGACTTATGCTCAAAGTGTTCATCGGAGGTTACGGCGTCATGCTTTTATGGCGCCACATCGTCCCTGTCGCTGTTGTTTGCGTGCACTCCAGGAATTCTGGTCAGTTACAAGACCTATGGATGAAGTTAACAGGATGTCACTGTGCCATGTCCTCCCTGTCTGCGAGGGTCGACGGCGGAGGCAAGACGGTCCACGTTCCAACCCACGCCTTCGTCTGCTGTGCTGTTGAGCTACTTCACTTTAGAGTAGAGGGCTACGAATTTCGGCCCCTTAGACGTGCATTCCGTGAGTGCAAATCAGCCTCCTCCCGCAGGTCTCCTATTTGATACCGATTCCAGAGTATTCACCGAATAACACTGTGAGCTAAAGAGGATTATGGCCAGTAGGCCATCGTCCAGCGTCCCGTTTGACACGACAAAGATAACCACGGTCCGTCGGTTGTGAAGAGCGTGCTTCTGCATACCGTCGGGCAATTGTCTCACGAAACTTATAGAAAATCTCGGACATCGAACTTTCCAGTATCTTTCTGAATCCGTCTCATTTCACCATGCTAACGGCCCATGTCGAACCAGCAGGCATGGGGAAGAAGTCGATTCGTATTCCTTGTAAGTGCTCTTGCCGTTGACGAGCAATGAAGACTATGCCAGCAGTTCATCCTTGTTTGCGGGATTCTCATTGCGTCCGTGGCAGATGGCTTCATCCCATATGCATTGTCGGACGGTTAGGTAGGATGCATGAAATGATCTTACTCGTGTAGTTGAATAGAGAGGCTCCTGGATAATTATAACAGCCTTGTCGGCTTGCTTTCGATTTGTTGAGGTGAACATTGATGGCGTCCGTGGAGTTCTGGAATGTTTGCTGGTGCAGATGAATAGTTAAGAGCTACATCGCCCGCAATTGTCGAGGGAAATGGAGTCTACACAGAGATTTTCCCCAATTAACAGTAGTTTAAAAGCCGTGCTATTTTTCCGCTTGACTGATCGTGAGATGAAGGCCATCGTTAGAATGCAGCCGTCTGAGTTCATTGATTGTGTGTTGGTATTCTGGATGAAGTCGATTGAGAATGTTTCTTCGGTTTCCGTGACAGCAGCCTTGCTCATTCTTCGGTATTTGGAGGACATCCGGTCTATAAGAACTTCCTCATTACAATCTATGTGGCCGTGGATTTTTGTTTGCTGTGCGCTTCAGTTGAGT